CACTTTAAATTTACGACAAAGTGCCGGAAGGAAAAGAACAATTTCAATAGGTTCAACATCATGCGCAATAGCAACCAGTTGTGCCTTTTTTTGTTCTACAAGTTTCGTGACATGGTTTACACCTGAACGAACCACCGGTGGACGCTTTGTTACTTCTTCAGTTTTGCCTGCTACCCGAGCTTCCGCACGCGCCTTTAATCGTTCCTTCTTCTGATGCTTTGTTTCTGGACGATATTTGTCCAGCAAACGGAATAGTTGCGTCGCTGCAAAATAGAATTAAACGGAAAATACCAAGAATCTAGTAGAAATTTCTTTCAAAAAATATTGTCTTGGAATTCCAAACTTTTTCTTAAAACCAGACCCAGAGGCTTAATCAACGCTGCCAAAACATCCATTTCTTTGCTAATTTTAAACATTATCAAATAACACCTTTCCATTTGTATCAGATAAATCCTGGACAAGAACTTAAAAAAAAATGAATGTTGAGATGAACAAATAATCGATCTTTCACTTGCTAAATGTGAAAAATATAGTACCAGAACTTACCTGTCTGTTTGTCAAGCGTTGTACGAAATTGATTAATTGGTGGTGGAATTTTTAAACGTTTCATCAAAACAGCCTTTTGACGTTGCAAACGAACATACTTGGGCCATCGCACAAATCTAGTCAGATCTCGTTTTGGTTGAATGTCTTGTCCTGAAAACAAAACAAATTATCCATTTTTTTGCACTTAACATAAAAAATCCCTAATCACTAAAAAAAAAAACAATTCACACCTATTGAAAAATTGCGTGGTCGCTTCTCGAATAGAGGATTTTGTTCTTTTTTCGGTGCCTCCGATTTCTTAGCCAATGGTGGCGGAGGAGCAACTCTCTTCTTAATGATTTTCTTTGAAGGCTGCAACACTTTAAAGATGAAATATGATTTCAAAAAAAAAAAAAAATTTTTTTTTTCAAAATAATCTTGTAAAATTAAACAATTATTTAAAAAGAGTTACCATTGTTCAAGTTTCCACTCACACTGCAACTATCAAAAAGTATTGATAAACGATAATTGGAAAGCACAAAAGTTGATATTTTATCAACATTCTTCATTATAATTGTTGAAATTGATTAGCATTTAAAACAAACCAAATAATTGGAAAGCATTTCATTAAGAGATAGTGAAATGTACAAAAGTGATAGGAGGATAACATTCGAGACAAAGCCGCCAACAATAAACCAAAGAAAAGAAATGAAACACTTTAACGACTCACCATATTCACTTGTAATTGCACCCTAAAAAAGAGTTCCAATCGGTCGAATACGGTCAGTTATCCTCCAGTAACAAACTGAAAACACGGCCGCGGCCCGTCGAATAGAACCGATACAAAGCATCGAAATTTCTCGACGATGGCTGCCTGATTGTGGAGATGGAGAGAGTTTAATGTGAAAATGTGGAACTGATGAATGTCTCTGGAAGTGAGTCATTCGAGAATAGATATGATCGAAAAGAGACAAACAGAGAGATGATGAGACATTTTAAAACAGCTTAAAATAATGATTGAAACGATCTGCACAATCCATTTTCTAACATTGAAAGGCAGTAAATATGTATGTATAGTTGCAGAAAGTTTGAAACTTGGCGAAATATCATGAAATGATAGTTGTGTGAGAGAAAAAGAATTGAAATGATGAAAATGACAGCACAAAAGTCGAGCGTTCTCGAAATAGCAACATACTTCATGGTAAGCAAAATTTAGCTTTTCTTGAATTTGCTAAATAATGGATTTTTTTTTTTTTAGAAATTTCTATTTTTGGAAATAAAAATATAGCTGTATTAAGATAGTTATATTTATTAATTTCTCAATTCTTAGGAAATGAATGAAATGGTACAATGAAAATGAGTAAATTTTACAAGTATATATTCTTTATGGTATGATATACAGAAGATCCAGAAGAGTTTTGTATTGAGCATTATGAACGTTTCTTTATGAAAATTAGAGATAGACAACTGTAAGGCAAATATACCGGTAATTCTTGCTGATGACGATAGTTATTAATGCAGTTTGAATTTGAGAACATATCTTTTCTAAAAGTGAGCATGATCTAGTTAGCTTTTTTTTTACATTAAAAACCCTAATTGCTAAAAATCAGGTATTTGATAAAATTCCATGCTTTAAATTGTCTTTAATTGATTATATAAATATTTGCAACACCACCTGCTTGCATTATTTCCATGTCCTTTATTTTTCTGGTCATCATATTTCAGTTATGGTTGGTGTGTTACATTATAAAGTGTAGTTAATGTTTACTATTACGTTATGACATTCTCTGGCTACAATTCCTACAATTAACTCTTGATCGCTTTCCTTGTCGGTTGTTCAATCTGGTTATTTTAGTTTGTTTCTGATATATTTTCTGTCTTTTTTTCATTACTAAGCACTGTTTTCATATTGAAGAGAGGAGAAATTTTCCAACTAAGGTTTCAAATAATTTGTATAGCCATTTCACAGAATATTAGAATCTATTTCGTGAGTTTTTAAACAAATCCACTTATTTAATAAATTTCAGAATCAAAATTTATCTTCCAATACTCTCAGTTTGCTTGGTTCAAAACAAATGTAAGTAGATTTTCCAATAAATTTTTGTTTGCAGATTATGAATGAGGACGCTGAAAATTTGTTAAGCAAAACATCAGATAATAACGAGTCTGCAGTGCTTTCCTTTAAAAATGAAACAACAAAATTAACATTCGCCGATGATACTAATATTGTTTGTTTTTTTTTTACTGTTTTTGATGTTTAAGAATTTTTAATAAATAAGTTTTGTTGATAGATCTAATTTTTTAATATCTATACATATTTTCCTTTGCTACCGTAGCTTCCAGTTCGTTCGTTGATTTCCTTTTTTTTAAGTCGATTTCATGTCATACTTTCGCAATACTTTTTTACTAGGCTATGTTTTGCTTTAGGGAGTGACTTTTTTCATTCTTTTATAGTACGACATAGAATGGATGTAGAAAAAAACAACTATCATCAGAATAAGACATGGAATCAATTAAATGCTTTCAGGATAGCAAGGATGGAACGATCAGCATTGAACCAAAATATGCAAGTGAGCTTATAGGCAAAGTATCAGAAATGGATCCAGCGGAACATCGTATTAGCTATCGGTGAGTTTTCTTATAGGAATAGTATATGAATTATTTCATACATGCTGCCGAAAATAATTGCTATGATGTAGTGACCTGGGAAGTGATTACTTTCCTTCAGATTTAATATTTAAAACTAAAAAACTTCAAGCTTTTATTAGGGTTTGCAGAGTTTATCCACAGCGTTGGATCGTTTTAGCAGTTGTTGCATTATTGAACAATTCAAATACAATGTCATGGATTGCATTTGCTTCTATTTCCAATTATGTCGACGCTTTCTATGGAATGGTGAATTAGATTTCTTGCTTCTATATTAATCCTATTCTAATAATTTTCAATTATCATGATTCAGTGATGGAAGTTAAAAGAAAATTAATTCACTTGCTTTATTATAAAGAGTTGCTTTACTGGAAAATTGTTTTTACGCAGTACATTTATATTAGAATATTTTGAGAATTTCATTTTATCAACTTTGAAAATGCAAAGAAAAGTTATTCTATCCGACAATATTTTCTTTGTTTCTCTATGCTTTACTGGTCAGCTGTTATTTTGCAGAATAAAGCAGCGAATTGGTTTTCACTGATTTTTATAATCTGTACAATACCGGTAGGCTTATTCGGCATATGGATGAGTAGTTCTTTTGGGCTTCGACTTGCCATTCTCATCGCAGCTTGGACAAACGGTATTGGTGGCACTATTCGTCTTATTAGGTAGGATTCATTTTTGGGATCGTTTGATATGATGATATTATTATTATTGAAGGATATGTGCAGTAGATATTTATTAATAGTTATGGGTATTAGTTTTTATTTCCAAGATTAGAGTAATTTTACCGAATAAGGGACTGAATTGGACTGAAATTTATGACTTCTTATCCACATCTTTGAAGTGAGATAACGAGAAGTCTTCCTTTATTTTGCTCTCAAACTGAAATAGTTACTCTAATTCGTGTTACAGAACACACATGTATTTACATTTTTCCACACTTTTTTTAGTTCATTTTTGCCACTGCAAATCCGCTTCCCCGTTGGGATTTTTGGACAGGCAGTGGCTGCTTGTGCATATCCGTTTATTATGTTCCTTCCACCAAAAGTTAGTTTTTGAAAATTTTGCTACATTTTTATGGAGATCAAGTTTTATTTAATGATCATTTTAAAGATATAAGACTGAAAAAAGGCAAATTCAGGTTGCGGGATCATGGTTTGCTGAAAATCAAAGAACGTTAGCAACAACAATTGGAATTATGGCAAATCCGTTGGGGGTGCTGATGGCAAATGTTCTTTCTCCTCATATAGTTTCAGCTCCAGTGGATGTAAGATTTCATTTAAGTTAAGGCTCGAGTTTTCTTCTTTGAGGGTCTTTCAAATCCATCGGAATGTTACAATGTTCTGAGTATAAGAATCGTAATCATCTGGAGGCTAAAACTATCCTAAGCGATTCTTAAAACAGAAGAACTGACCTTTATCTTCATTAACTGTAGTGCAGGAAATAGTTGAATTTGAAGTGATAATGTCAGTGTATTTTCAGGTATTAAAAGTGAACATTATAACTTTTGTACCGTCTTTATTGGCTTGTTTGTTAGCAACTTTCTGTGTTACTCGATCGGGACCACAAATAGCGCCATCTCAAAGTGCTGCTCAACCGCAAATGCCGTTCTTTCCTGGTTTGTTTGCTGCTTTAATTCAAGTCAAATATTTTGGAATGTTTCAAATGGAGAGGATTTGAAAACTGTTTCATGTTATAGGTTTTGCAGACTTCCTTGTTGCGCGACTGTCTACTTCTTTGCAGATGCCTTTTTTACTGAATGTATTTACAAAATTATTTGCTTTTATATCATTTTCCCTGTAAATTATGTTGTTAATTTAAAATCGTTGTGGATAGTGCCAGATTATACCAACTTTTGATAATCACTTGTTTTCATCAAAAAGAAGCATTGTTTGGTGAAGGCATATAAAATAAACTGAAAATTCCAAACATTCAAATAAGTTGGGAAAGCTTTTCACCAGATTATAGAAAGATTAAATTCTTTTTTGTTAATTTCAGATATTTTTTTCAGGAATCAAACAGTGTTTTACCAATAAGGCATACGTATTGCTTTTCATAGTGATGGGTGGCGGGATCGGCATGTTTAATTGTCTATACACTGTCATACAGCAGCTATTATGTGCAACGGGATATTCAAATTCGTTCTCCGGATTTTGCGCTGCGTTGATGATCATTGGTGGAGTTTTCGGAGCTACCATTGCAGGTATCTTCTGCTGATTATTTTGTTTTTTATTCTTTCTAAATTTTTAATGTTTCAAAACAACGTATCTTATTTGTTTTATTTTCTTTTTTCTAAACGATGAAAATGAAGCCCTAATAATGGCTTTTTCTTAATTCTTCGGGCTACATCTTTATCTTTCATTTTATTTTTGTAAGCATTTATTTTAGTAAACATGAAAAACTGAAGCTGTCTTCAGGCATGTTTGTTGATCGAACTAAACTTTATGAAGAAACCATGAAAGTATCCATGTCTCTGGCTGTCATTTTTGGGATCATATTTTTGCAGGTAATGTTTCAGTATTCGAAAATTTTCACTCATATAAAATTCTGATAAAATCCAGTGTAATGGATAAAATCTACTCTAATGTTTGATTTTCCGCAATATTATTAATGGAAGTGACTAAACACTGTTGAAGCAATAAAATATATTTACAATAGAAATTTTTTCTTGCGGTTTTTTTACATTGAAGAGTCACCGTTGAGTGATATATAATTTAACTGATTCCAGTAAATCTCGAATCTCTTATTTATATCAGCAATTGTTGCATACTTTCATTTTAGTTATCTCTGCATTCTGGTCTCACTATTTATCTTGTAATCACGGCTTTTCTCTTCGGTGTTTTCGGACTTGCATCATATCCAGTTGGTTTAGAATTAGCCTCCGAGTGTACTTTTCCGGTGTCTGAAACAACCTCATCAGGCGTTGTAGTACTTAGTGGTCAGGTATGCTTTCTTTTTCTTTGTTATGAAGTATCATAATCCCTAATGCTTAAGGACTTCGATGATATTAAGTCTTATAACTCTTGCATGATTTTATCTGATTTTAAAAAAATAAGTCAAATGAATTGAAAAAATTGAAGA